ATATATATACATATATACATGGTTATCCATACATTTAGCTCTATAGGTATACATTTGCCAACTGTTTTCATTATGAAAGTGCTTCTCTCTATTTAGTGTTAAGAAAACTTGACAAACCTGTAGTTTTGAAGTTTTACTGATCAGAGAAATCTCACAATTATAGCTCTATGCCAAAAGAACAGATTTACAGCTGCTCACCTGGGTTGTAAATACATCCTAGATAAGTTGGTGGCACCCTGGTGATGCAGCACTGGCACGATGATTGTTCAGCCACATCGTTTTGGAGATGGGTGGCTTTCTGGAAAGACACTCTGAAGGTTTCCTACATTTTCATTGGGACAGTCTTGGAAGGTGAAAGGGAGTGTGCCAGGTGGACAGCCAAGAGAGTGGGTTGTCCACACAGATGATAAAATCATTTCCAAAGGTATGCTGATGCGGAAGTCTGATTTGTTGGATGACCTAAGCCATTTCAGGCATCAGAAAATACAGGTGTCTATAAAGGAGTAACAGAATTACAAAGACCCTGGAATGTCTGTGTATGCTGTCTTAATTCAAGTAAATGTAGCAAACCTATTGAATGCCATACCCTTTACAAAATATATGGCAAGAGATTTAGAGATGAATAAGACCCAGCACTTGACCTTCAAGGAGACTGTAGTCAAGAAAGTGAGACTTAACAACAGGAATAACTAATATGCTTAACAGAGAAACGAAGAAAATATTCATGAAAAAGAATTGAAGAATGGAGACTGTTTTGACAGGCTAAGAGCGCACACAGTACAAAACCACATTGGTACAAACAAATATATTCAGGGACCAAGTAATTAAGCTTGGCTGGAATGGAAGGTTTGAATAAAATGTACTTTTACTTTTCATATTTCCTATAGAAACTGCAATAATACCAGTTTAGTAGTGAGGTTTCCCTTCTTAAAGCCTAACTAGCCAAAGATGACCATAGACAAAGCTTATAGTCTGCCAATGTTAGATTTATTGAATTGTTATGTAATTTGTATACATTGCTAGAGAATTTTCAGTAAAAGGCTTTATTTACCTTTTATTTAGGCAGCTCCTTAATATAGCTTGTGACAATTAAAAATCCTACACAAATTCTTCAGCCAGTACCCACAACCTGGTCGTGTTTATGCTATGGTTATGAAGCACTATTAGTGATCAAATGACATTTTCTCCCTTTTCTTTTCCCCTCTTCCCTCAAAATAGGTTCACTTATCTAAAGAATATGCAGAGGCTTGTTTCAGAGCTGTACATTCGGGATAATTGCCACCCTTTCAAAGCCACAGTGTTGGTCTGGATTCAGCTTCCAATGTGGATCTTTATGTCTGTCGCTCTGCGGAATTTTAGCACAGGAGCAACACATTCAGAAGGTAGTTATTATAGAAGTTTGTTTCCCCCCAAATAAGTTCCCTAACATTGTCTTTGTACTCTAAA